TTTGAAAGCCCTAAGTCACATTCCAAAATTTTAAAAGTGGTTAAGTGGTCATTGGGTTTTTAAAATCCACACAGAAGCAAACTTCCTAGCAATGTAACAAATACCCTCTGCAGACTTCCCTCTGTATTCTATGCCAATCCCATTTTATTGTGAAGATTCCATATTTTTTTTTTCTTTTTTGTAAAACTTCCTGTTCTGTGGGATCCCAGAAGAACCAGGAGCCACCCAGACAAGATACTGCCCAACTTGGCTGAGTGGTAACTCACTGCAATAGACTCCACAGGTCCTACATGAACTGGGAACCACTGCCTTGCATGGAACAGCATTTTCCTCTATGGAAGACAGTGGCTCTGCCACTTCGCTATGCACAGAAGTTGTCATCAAGTGATGAGGAGTCACTTGTTCCTGCAAGGAAACAGCTATTGCCGTGCTCAGATCCATGCCCTCAGCACACAGCACACACCACGCACCCACTGCCAGCCTGGTTATACCTCCCAGTCTCGAGCCAAGCATCATGTTTTCACTTCTCTGCGCAGCCAGGAGATCTCAGACACAGTCTGTCCCCGCACTAGCACAGTGTAGTTCACTCGCAAGGAGAACACGTTGACAAGGAACTCTATTTCTGCTGCTCAGCAGTGAGCCTGCGCTGACGTCAGATCGCTGTTGCCAGGCATTTAGGAATATATGCGCTGCCTGTAGCAAAGCAGAACCAACCAAGCAAGCAAAAGAAAATAAAATTACTTGCTGTTAACTGGAAACTCTCTGTAGTAGGTAAAAAAAAAAGTTTTCCTCTCTCTTCCTATTCATCTGGATTTTAATTAGTGAGTTTGGTACAGACGTTGAAGAGGAACAGATTGTTAATAACCTGCCCAAGTAATTCAGCCTAAATAATACTTATCTTTAATATAGCAGCAGTGCAGCACTCACGTGAGATAATATACTGAATGTAGAGCTTTTTTCTTTTATAAAGGGGACCAAAAAAGAGAATAGAGGAAGAAAAAAGGGCTTGTTTTTTCCTGCTTGCAGGAATGGGGCGGAGCAGCAAAAATCATGAATAATATCAGCAGTATAGTCTAGGGGTTTGAAGATGTCTGGCACTAACCTTTAAGATCTCTTAGCTTACACCCTGCCTCTCACAGCTGTTCCATGTCCCCCTTTTTTCCCCTCCCTTTCCCACAAAACCCTCCCAAAAGGGGTGCAGAGCTTCAACACAGACCTTCTGACAGTATCATTCACAGACGGCTTCCTGGTCTTGATGTTCCTAGAGGTTTGGTCTAACACAGAGTCCATTAGATTGTTTCGTACCTCCAGAAAAGAAAAACTCTTAGAACTGTACTGGGAGGGAAAAGCCTCTGCTATGGGGAAATGGAGATTAACACTGAGGGCTGTGGAGATCCTAAATCCCTAAGAGTGAGAATTAATGACAAATATATCAAAGTTCAAGAAAAGGACTCACTAAATACCAAAATCAAAGGCAAGCACTGGGACACAGGGAGAAGGAGGTTTTTAGAAAAGGTTTCTTTTAAAAGGTCTAAGCCCTCATGTGAGAGCAGATATTCTGTGCAAAAAGAGATCTTCTCAGAGGAAGTCCTCAAGGTTACTGCAGCCCCAAACGTTTGCCAGGAGACGTTATTCCAGGTCTCAAACACTAGATGCCACTAAGAGATCAGCATGGAAAACAAGAGCGCTAGCCCAGACTCAGCAGGGAGTAGCCCAGCCTCTGGAAGGAGAGAATGCTCTTCACTGCAGAAAGGGAACAGCCCTGGCCCATTTCATGGCAAGGCTACAGCAAGGCTCTGATATTTGGGACCACTGGGCAGGTTTGGCAGCAGTACAAGAAAAGCAAATACAAAAAAAAAAGGCAAAGATGAAGAGTATGCAGTATTTCAGTTTCTGTATAGTTATTTCCCACTAAAGTCCTTGCCTGCCTCAAATATTTCTGCAGCTAACAGCAAATAAAAGGAGACTTAATTTTCTTGTACAAGAAAAACTGCCTCCTCCAGCACAGAGACACAAGATGAGATAAAATTGTCATTCAGTTACGCTCTCGGTTTTGCTGTATGAGAACAAAAAGTGCATTTGCAGAGTCATGCTCTGTAAGGATTCTCTGTAGATGTGCACATGAACTACAACTCAAAACATCTTCATTTTTGAAAGCCCTAAGTCACATTCCAAAATTTTAAAAGTGGTTAAGTGGTTTTTAAAATCCACACAGAAGCAAACTTCCTAGCAATGTAACAAATACCCTCTGCAGACTTCCCTCTGTATTCTATGCCAATCCCATTTTATTGTGAAGATTCCATATTTTTTTTTTCTTTTTTGTAAAACTTCCTGTTCTGTGGGATCCCAGAAGAACCAGGAGCCACCCAGACAAGATACTGCCCAACTTGGCTGAGTGGTAACTCACTGCAATAGACTCCACAGGTCCTACATGAACTGGGAACCACTGCCTTGCATGGAACAGCATTTTCCTCTATGGAAGACAGTGGCTCTGCCACTTCGCTATGCACAGAAGTTGTCATCAAGTGATGAGGAGTCACTTGTTCCTGCAAGGAAACAGCTATTGCCGTGCTCAGATCCATGCCCTCAGCACACAGCACACACCACGCACCCACTGCCAGCCTGGTTATACCTCCCAGTCTCGAGCCAAGCATCATGTTTTCACTTCTCTGCGCAGCCAGGAGATCTCAGACACAGTCTGTCCCCGCACTAGCACGGTGTAGTTCACTCGCAAGGAGAACACGTTGACAAGGAACTCTATTTCTGCTGCTCAGGAGTGAGCCTGGGCTGACGTCAGATCGCTGTTGCCAGGCATTTAGGAATATATGCGCTGCCTGTAGCAAAGCAGAACCAACCAAGCAAGCAAAAGAAAATAAAATTACTTGCTGTTAACTGGAAACTCTCTGTAGTAGGTAAAAAAAAAAGTTTTCCTCTCTCTTCCTATTCATCTGGATTTTAATTAGTGAGTTTGGTACAGACGTTGAAGAGGAACAGATTGTTAATAACCTGCCCAAGTAATTCAGCCTAAATAATACTTATCTTTAATATAGCAGTCTAAAAACATTAACTAATTTTTTCATCGAAACTGCACCGCAAGAAAGGCAGGAAGACTTGATTATGTTATTATTTTACTGACATCAAAGACTAATCAGAGTAAGACAAAGTGCTTGATCCAACACCAGCTTTAAGAGGGAAGGATTAATCGCGGTGGGATTCCAGAATCGGATGCACATCCTTTTATAAGCCTGTGCAGTAACAGAGAGAGAGAGAGATGACAGTCTGTAGCCTGGAACATCAGTTCAGTCTTGAGATATAAATTAGAGACACACACTAAATGGAAAAAAACCCAACAAAAACCACAAAACTGCACAAAAAGGATGATGCCTTTTGTTCTAAGAGAAAATATGTGCATTTCTTATGTGTGCTCGTGTGCAATCTGTAATTACTAGTCTGAAGTCTGCATTAGAAAGCAAATGAGAAGCTGGATCTCAGCTGCTGTAAATCAGCAGCACTCTGCCTGCACTGATAGACTGACACCGCTCAGGCCTTTGAATGTTTCTCACATCTTAAGATATAAATCCATCAATTAAGGGACCAGCTCTGACTCTTTGTGCCTCAGCTCTCTCTGGTTCCAGCGAGTACCAGATGGGCTGACTGATTCATTCGTAGCAGTTCAATGAATTGTTTCACGGGAGGGAAGGCAGAAGCAGACTTGATCTGCAATTTGATGAAGCCATTCCCAGCCCCAGGAACATGGAGAGGTTTGTTTCAGCACTGCAGGGACCAGGCTCATCTTCTGGGGAGGTACACGATGCTCTCACCTGGGCAAAGGGACTCTGCAGACTTTCTTCTAGGGTAGAAAAGGAAAATTCACAGAGTCTTATCTATGACTTGGCTACTTACAGTTTTCCCCTCTTAGGAAATGTCAGTTAGATTCATATTCAAATAGCAATTAGAAAATACACTGTAGGGAACAATTCTCCACCGGGCTAGAGTCCCTACTCAGAGGGATCTCCTGTAAAAGACTCAAGGCTATCTACTAATATAGGTTTAATTTCTTATGCAAGCATTCCAGTCTTAACAGATCTGCTGTAGTAGTACAGTATAATTAGCCAGTATAATTTGAACAAATCTTCCAATTTTGTTCAAAAGAAAACAAGGACTAAAAAAAGAGCCGACTCTTGATAATACACTCTCAGGGATGGTGCAATTCAGTGAAATTCTACCAATGAGGACAGCAAGAGTTTCTATCACCCAAGGTCTAAAAGCCAGGCATTATTCCCTTCTCACAACACAGCAGAAGTAATGCAGGACAAACCTGGATCACCTTGAGTAGAATAGAAAAAAAAAAAAACCAAACCAGCACAGTGAGTACTGGCAGATACAGTCCACTTGAGAATCAAGAAGAGTATATACCTAAAAATGTTCCAGCTCTCTATTTACGTCAGTTCTGGCAAGCTTGCTTCTCTGAAATTACATAAGATTAATGTATTCATACGATGTATTGTCTCACCCATCGGTGCTTTAAGGCTGCCACAATTTCATATTAGTTCCCTTTCTTCTTTCCTTTTCTTTTTCTGTCACCTGCAGAACTAGTATTTCAGAGACCAGCAGAATAAGGTCCTTTCCAGCTCTTTCCCTGTATGCAAAACCCAGCCCAGCAACCTCATGGTGGCTTTCAGGCCACCCTTCACAATTCTGCTGAGAAATCTGCGGAATCTCTGGCTTGTGAGGAAAAGGACACAAAGGAAGCATCTGCTACTTTTTTAGTCTAAACTGTGCTGTAGGATCTACGTATGTTATTAACTACTGAATCATTGCTTCTATCCTTTCAGTCAAGCAATTTAAGCTGAGAATGTGGGTAAATCAGTTATTAATAGCTAAGTTGCAGCAAGTTTTAAGGCTTTGGAAGAATTCATGCTGTAAATCCCAACTTCAAGCCTTTGTATTTCTGTGTTTCAGAGGTGATTTTAGCTGTGACCCCACCTGCTGCAGCTCACTGCATTCCCCGAAAAAGATCAGCTGGAAGTTGCCCGTGCTGATCAGGCTGAGCTGCTTTCTTACTGCGGGCTGGCACTTGGTGGCACCACAGTTCATCGAAGCCAAAGCAAAGATCCAGATGAATCAGCAGCATTTCACTGTTCGTACAGTTGATGCACAGCGTCGCCTAAAACGGTTTGCTCTGGAACATCATCGCTCAATGAGCTCTGAAGTCTGGCTCTGCACTTTCTCTGAAAATATATGTGCTGTATAATTCTAACTGAAATGCTACCCACTCGCAGTTCTCTGCAATCTCCTCTGAAGTCTCCCCAGGATTTAGAATTGTGACTTCTCACGGCATCAGAGGAAATTGAACAACTTATCTCATTTCCAGTGCCAAGAGTACGGTGAACACTTCACAGACGAGCAGAAATTATGTCTGCCATGTTATAATTACAGAGGCTGATCTTGCAATCAGTCTTTAATATTAGCAGGAAGCCTGATCGGTTTTATCTGGATTCCACATATTCTGCAGGAGCCCATGCATACAAATGAATTAGCAGCATGAATCTGTAAGAATGTGCAAGTTGCTATTAAACCGATATCCTAAATTACAGTTTTGTTTTGGTTAAATATTACTTTTGGCTTTAGATTAACAAAATATCTGCAACTGATTCAGTTTCTTAGAAGAAAGATCAAGTCTTTGATGCGCATTATGATCAAAACCTCAATTTAAAAAGGATGAGATTTGAGCATGAAACAGCAAGTACCTTTGGTGACATTGGAACTCTTCTTAGAGTAGCACTTTGTGTCAGAGTAGTAAGAAATTACAAGGTAGGCTAAGAAAGTGTCTTCTTTTTACACAAAAATAACTGCAAATACTGTCTATCAAATTTGTAATACACAAATTTACAAGCTTTGAATATGATAATTCTGTTACAGATAGATGTTTTTATATGAAGAGCACACACATTCCGGAGCCTATGGGATGCTCTGTATAACTAAACCAATATGCCATCGATGACTGCTCAGCACAGTGTAACCAGCACTGCAGGTATGAAGGCAGAATGCACAATTTCAAAATCACTTCTGTCTTTTAATCCTCCAACAGTACTTTTAAAAGCCAGCATCTTTTATGACTACAAGTAAAATAAGTTTACAGGACTGTTAAAAATCTCAACAAGATTCAGTGGCCTAAAAATCTTCTTCTTGTAAGTGCCAAATTGATTCAGCAACATTCAGCAACTGCTGCAGAAAAGGTTTGATGACCTAACCGGGTACCATGCTATGGAGGGCTGAAATCTCTGGCTACTTCTTTATAATTACAGCAGAACCTTTTAACTCCCTAAAGCACAGAATCAGTGAAAAAAGTTTTTCTGGCCTGTCAGGGGTGACTGAGCTGGGGAATATGTGCTCTACAAAGTTTCCCATCCTTCACGGGCTAATTGTCGGTTTCAGATCAACGGCCTCACTATCACCATGGCTGAATATGATGACTGTCTCCAATTATCATTAAATAAGGAGGGTTAACAAGACCGACAGTGGGAGCCGGATTTAAACCTCACTGCAGCAGAGACTGCAGCAAGTGGATCGACACACCCTGTTAAAGATGCAGTACATCATTTCTGCCCTTCAAGCTTACTTCATCCCCTTTGCTGCAATGCTGTCGACAAACACAAAGCTTAACCCTTTTTCGAGCAAACTGCCTCAAAAAAGCAGGCACCAAATCGTGCAGTATTTAAGGTAGAAACTTAGGATCTAAGTGATCTCTATTCACCCTCTTTCCTCAAAACAAAGTTTCAATATATATGTGTTTAAAGAATATTTTGGTTTGTTTTTCACATAGAAGTGCTTGCCGCAGAGCACAGGGTTTGCAAATGCCTCTCTGACAATCTTCATTCCTACATCTTCATTGCAAAGATCCAACACAGGGCAACGTGACACTGCAGTTTCCCAAACCCATCCGGGTTAGGTGGTAAACTGAGGCACAGGATCCACACAAATTCTCTTACAGGCTTTGATTGAACTTTTGATGAAAAATCAGCTATTTGTAAATCCAGGTCAATGCCAGGAAACAGCTTCAGTCAGAAGAATGAAGGAAAAGTGGAACTTAGAGAAACATTTTCTAAAGGAATGCCCTTGACTTTTAATTTCACAGCTGACCTGAATGTCTTTCCAAGATCAAAATTTTGTCAGCATCAGATTATTAAACAAATCAATCTATTACACACAAATATTTATTTTTGACTGCTTTTCTTCCTTGCCATTGAAAAAATACTACTGTGCAAGGATCCGAGGAAACCCAGACAAAACATTTTGTAGTTCACCTATTCTAGGTTGTCTGTCACTGGCTTGCAAGAGACCTGCTGTAGACAATAAACTAGAGCAGTCCCTGAGGTCAGACCTATTTGAATTTGGGAAGAGCCAAACCAGCATTATCCTTACTCCCCTGTGAAGGGCAGCCCAGATTCTGAGCCTGAGAGCACGCGGTGAGAAAGCTGTGGGACTTTATTAATGACTATGCAGCATGGACAGGAGGGATGCACTGCAGAATCATACGGCTTTGCTGTGCTCTTTCAGAGCCTACATTCCTGCCTTCCTCCCATCCTTCATCACAAATAACTATGTTAACAGTCTGATCGGCCGAGGCTGCAGGAAAGAAAAGAAAATCAAGACCAAATGTAGCACAGGGCGGAGGAAAGCAGTGAGACATCCCTTCCAGAAAGTGTCCGGTTAGAGCGGAAAGATGAAAAATAGATGCCATATGAAAAGGCAAACAAGAGTGACATTGAGCCCTAATGCATAAGCCAGGCACATGTACCTCGTGGAGAAAAATATGTTCTTTTGTATTCACAGCAATGCTTAAACCTCCTATTAACGGAAATAAAAATCTGTCAGTAGCTTTTCAGTGCTCTTGCTTGTTTGTAGCAGCTCCAAGGGCGATATCTGGTGTCTCACTGCTGACAGCTGAGGCATTGGATCCTTCTGGCGTCAGTCAGAATGAAAATCTAGTACAATGGGGTTTGTTAAGCGGGTGGGTCTGATTCTCCTTTTACACTCAGGTTATTTTAGCAATTCAGGCCAGTGGAATCACTGGTGGGTATGAAGACACACACACACACATATATATATGAGAGAGAGAGATATTCAAAGCAGCCCATGTTATATAAGACTGCTACACAATTTTTATACCTGTATTTAGAGATACCTTTCCCAACAACTGCGCCAAAGAAAGCAAACCCCTTGTCTAGTAGTAGAGACTACTGGATACAGGACTGCATGTTGTAGGGTGGAACAGGAGGGAACAAAATAGCAGAGCACTCGAGCACTAACAATCCAGGCTCTGCAAACACATTTACTGTTGCATATATAGATCCTTTACAATTTACAGACAGAAAAATCAAGGTCCAAACTAACTCAGAGTTCAAGGATTTGCCCTGGAAATTCTGGTCTCTTCATGGGCTAGCTGGATGGGAAAGGGGTCTCCCTGAACACAGGTCTAACGTTTGGAGCAAAGAAACCTAGAGATCAGTATTTCTGGTTACTTTAGTAAGCTTTGGAAGTGCAAACAAGTGATTAGGGCAGGAACTATTGATTATCTGAATTAAAAACAACTTCTGCACACTTTGACCTTGTGATTTCTAGCTTTCTGCCCAAATGCCTCGGATGTTATTTCCTAAGCTACAGCATCTACTTGGTTCCCAACCCAGTTTTTCACCTCCAATCTTTATCTGAAGTTTAAATGCCAGAATTTATGGCTACGTGTCTGTTAATTCTCCTGGATGTGATTAGCTGCTCTGTCAAAGTAAGATGATGCATAGGTGTTCTTTCAAGACCAGTGAAGCTGAGGTACTAATTCATTTAAGGCACTGTAAATCATGCTAGCAAGAAGCAAAAAAGTACTAGCATTACAAAAAGAATCCAGATACCCAGAGAGTAGTATTGGGGGTATGTTGTCTGCCTCGTATTTTCTGAATAATGTGTTATAGATGCCTTTCAGTGCTCAGCTCCTGAAGTCTCAGACATGCAGGCTCTTAGACATTTTAGCCTTTTCCTTACTTATCCTTGTTCTAAAAAGAAGACAAAAAATCCTAAAGAAACTGCATGACATTGTGCAATTCAATTTAAAATGGGAACTATTCAGGAAGAAGTCAGCTAATATACTGAGGTGACTGGGACAGAAATGAGTGTATCACAAAACAGAATGTGGTAGTGAAAGACTAAATCTGCATTGCACAAAATAGATCATCCTCTTTTCCGTAAGTCTTTCGGTAGAGGAATAAAGGACATCTACAGACAAAGGATTCTGCTCTAAGATACCCCAAGGGTAGGTGATATACTTAACTGCCACTGGGCTAGTGGTCTCAGAACCTGGAATAACACGTAGCAGCCCTTGGCTTATCTTCAGAATAAGTGCTCAAAACTGGAAGGTTTGTTGCTTGGTACATGAAGACTATCTAAACCAGTACTGAAATGCCTACATTGCACACCACTGGTTCTAACTACTGGGGGGAAAAAAAAACGGGTAGGAGGCCAGGGAGAAGAGAGAACACAGGATACAGAGAAAGAGAGAGCAGTTATTTTCAAAAGAATAGAGTTGTTTGGTTTATTGACATGCACAATACATAAGGTCAATTTGTTTGCTGTTATCTGCCAATGCACAATAGTGTCATGTTCTGCTGTCACTGTTGATCGTTAGACAAGTCATAGACACTGGCGCTTCTGCACAGCCAGGCTAGTCAAAAATGATCTCCTGAAAGACACAAGGCCAAATCCCTCCTGAACCTATCCTTACAAAACACCCTTTGGTTAAAATAGAAGTAAAGTAAGCAGGATTTGGTCCATGGTGACTAGGTACTAAAAATTTAAATCCTCTAGAATGATTCTTGATTTGTTGCTTAACCTTAGAGTGGTCCTTTGGTCAGATATCCCCTTCCCTTAAAAATCAGGAGATCTATAAAAAGCTCAGGCTGAAATGTAATGTATACTGGAACACAATGGTTCAAAGCAGCTGCGATTGAGAATGAGGATATGAGCAGCCTGGCAGGAACGAGACAAGCCTCTCTTCCTCAAAAGCTTCTCCTTTCATGTCTGTTAACCCACCTGTTATTAAAATA